ATCCCTCCTTGAGAGAGAGAGAGAGAGAGAGAGAGAGGTGTGTGGCCAGCTCAGCCCACCAGGGGGCGGGCTGGCTGGCATGTGCTGCTGAGGGATTGAACCGTGGTCCCTGTGCTTCGCTGAACTTGTTCTAAGTAGGTGCTTTAGACCACTGAGCCATCTCTCCAGCCCCAGCACTTTTCAATTATGAGAATACATTCAGAATTTTCTTTTAGTGAATTAGTTATTGCTTTCAGTGATTTCAGCAACAAAATTGAGTTACAAAACTTGCTTATTTTGCCTAGTCGACCTGCTCAATGAATTCAATCTTTCAATTCAGGGGAAGATATAATCTATGTTTAAGTTGGCAGATAAAGTGGTTGCATTCAAAGAAAAACTTGCATCTGTCCTTATATAGGAAACATTGGGACTTTTTTATATGATGAAATGTTAGCAGAGATTTTGAAAGTAATTGATCCAAAGCCTTCTTCTCCCAGTCGCTATAAGATCATCTATTTCAGCTTGCAAGTAGCACTATTTCCCAACTATAAAAGAATCCCAAACAGAGAAGGAACAGATCCACAATCAATTTGTTAATAAAAGAGGTGAATTAATTTTGCAAAAGATAATATAATACTTAACACATGATGCACATTATATCATATTATTTTATTATATATTAATAGTAATAGAAATAAAATATGCAATAAAAATGATATGCTTGAAGCACCCTGAGACCACACTTCATACTGCTTAGAGAAAAAAATGCCTTGTAAGAAAAACTGGTCACTGGTGCCAAGAAGGTGAAGAGACTGTTGTATAGACCAATTATTTTTTTCAAAGTTTTATTGATAAACAGATAGCAATGAGACAATTTCAAATCAAATCGGAAGTACAGTTTCAATAAATAATACACTGCATATATTCTTCTTAGTGGTTAATTGCTGTACAAGATGTGGACTTGTGATCCTATTTACAAACACCATTAGAACAAATCATTCTATTCATTAAGAGAATGCAACTATATATCTATCCTAACCACTTTGAATACACAGATACAAAATAGACATTCATCGGTATGCCCCATTTTTTCTAAGTTCCGTTATTGAATATTATAGGTGTGTAAACTCAGCAAAATATTCTAAAAGAGTCCAGTAGCCCATAATAGCATTGGGTCTTCTGTTTAACTGGCAATGTCAGAAATTATTGACCTGAGTCCCCCACAGCTCAACATAACAGCATGGCTTTATTTCCTATATTTCGTCTTCATACTTTTCTACTGGATGGTTAAGACCAAGGTAAAGCAGGACCTATGCAACAAGAGTTGTAGCTTTTTGGTCTGAGAAGGTCAGTGAAATGCCCTCAGGATTTATCCTGAGATCCTGTACCTCAGATTGTAGAACTTTTGTCAGTGTCAGCTATGTGGATGAGTCACGGCCATTGCTTGGCCAATGTGCTCTCTGTGAAAGCCTGAGAGAGTGTCTTCTCCCCATGTGACTCTCCTTAGGCACACTCTACGTCATTGATCACTTTCCTCTTTGGCCCCATAATCTTCTTGATCAGGAAATTTGGGACACTGCCGAGGTACATGACGTATATCGTACAGTCTCCCTAGTATAAGAACTCCAAAGAAGAAATACAAGTAGAGAGATATAATACAAGGAAAAGGAAAGCAGGATCTCAAGGACTAACTAATCAAGAGAGGGAAAGGTCATGATCTAGGAAACATGACGATGTCAAGCCATGCAGTTGTATGTAAAAGATGAGCAAGGCAATGATCCAGAGAATATTCAGAAGATTCTTTAATCTAGCAGTTAATTGGAAAGATTCTCACCCTGACTAACTATATCTACTGATACCTGTGAACTAAGCTACTGCAGTGCAGCTGGTAATTTGTAATAGACCAATTATTTTTAGACACTAATAATTAAAGTTGTATAGTGTCTGTCTTTCTGTTTTTGTATGATTTCATTCAACAAAATGATCTTTCATTTCAACCATAGGTTTAGGTATCATATGTTTTGCCCCATGTATCATTTGGATCAGTTGGAGGACACAGTTTTGGTTTCTATTCTACCATGCACATTCTTAATCCTCTCATTGTTTTCCAATAGAGACTATGTAGAGACTAACACACCCCTACAGTACTACTAAATGATTCAACAGTTCTGCTTCTTGCTACACCAATCCAAATAATGAAGTCAGTATGCTTAAGAGATGGCCACATGCCATTTAAAATGTACAAAGGATAAACTGAAGAAGTTTATGAATAGCTTGACTGCTTTAGGCAATGAGGCTTCATTCTGCCCCCTCAGTTATAATTAATTTGAGCCTCAGAAGCTCCCAGCCTAGTATTTTTTTGAGAAATTTCCATATTCTTTCCATCATGGATATGGTAATTTATACTTGCACCAATAGTGTACAACAGTTGTTTCTTTGAATCAGCATTATATCCCTTTAATAGTCCATGTCCTTTCTGAACTGCAATAAATTGAACATTTGCGCTTCCAATGCTATTCCAAAATTCTCATAAACTTCAGTCTGTCCTTTATATCCTTTGTGTATTTTAAATAGCATGTTATCAAGTGCACTAATTTTTTTTCTGCTTGACTTATTATTGAGGTCTCTTAATTTTAAATTTTACTCATAGATTTAATGTCATTGAGTTTTGTTTGAAAATTGATCATTTTCTCTTTTACTCTGAGTACTGTCTACTTTTTCTCTGTTACAAACTTATTAACTCTTCTTAAATTGCTAATTTAAATTCACTAAGAGATAATTCATACTGGTGACTATCTACTTGCTTTACAGTAGCTCATTTTGATGTCTAGATGACACCAAGTTCCTTAACTGTTTGAAACACATTGGTGTATGACATGTGTTTGGTCATTGAAGGACTTGAGATTTACTTCAGTCTTTATTACTTGTTTGTACATCTCTTAGAAGTTCAAGTGGGCTGATTTTTTTCCTCTGAGCCTGTAGTCATTTCTGGTATCTTACTACTAGATGCATATGAGTCAGGGTTTACTACAAGTCCTGTTGATGTACTATTGTGGCTTCTGTAATAGAAGGCAATCCCAGCTACAGAGTAGTGTAAATCTTTAGTTGATGTGTTCTTAAGCATGAATTAAAAGGGCATTAAAAAGGGTAATTTATTAGATAAATCTCTTGTTGGGCAAAGGATGGACACAAATGCCTTATCTTTGACTTTTCCTTAGGAGCTATGGAACTCTTCCCTGCTCTGAGAAGAATCACTATGAAAGAATAAGCCCCAGGCTCCAGTGCTGGATGTATAATTATGAATATGTGGGAAAAGCCACAGCTTTCTGAGACCAAAATACTTGTGAGGGCAAATGGCATTCTAAATAATTGATTTATTAGCCATAAAAAACTAAAATTATATTTATTCATCACATAGCGATTACTACAGCCACACTTTAACAATAGAAACTTGTAGCACACATAATCAGTATAATTGCTGCTGACCACAAACTCTGCCATTTCCTCACCTCTAACTGGACAGTCCTTAATGCTTCATTCTTAAATATGATGTTTGTTGTTTCCATTGGCTTAGAAGCCCCTGGATATCCTCTTGACTTTTGGTAAGTTATTCTACCCCTTGGCTATGTTTCTGATGATCCCTTTCTGAGTTAAAGTTGTGTCCAAGGGCTGGCCAAATAGCTCAGTGGATTAAAATACCTGAAAGCAGGCACAGGGGCTGGGCATTCAATTACTGGGCCTGCCGTGCCAGCCCCACCCCTGGGGCACTCTGAGATGGTGATTGAGACTGGGCATGGTAGCACACTTGCAATCCCAGCACTTGGGAGGCTGTAAACAGGCAGATCACTAAGAGTCTGATCTAGTAGTGAGACCCTGAATATCATGTAGACTATGCCATACATTACAAAAAAAGGAAAGAAAGAAAGAAGAAAGAAAGAAAGAAAGAAAGAAAGAAAGAAAGAAAGAAAGAAAGAAAGAAAGAGAAAAAGAAAGAATCCAAGTTGGTGCATAATTTGGGCTGGCAAGATGGCTCAGTAGAATAAGCGTTTCCCTGACAAGTGCAAGAGTCTGAGTTCAATACCTGGTTCTGGAAAAAAAAATTAATGGTGCATGACTCAATCTCAATCCACAAAATTTTCTTTCAAAATTTGTCAGGTGGAACTTACTAGGAAAAATCTCTCTGAGTGGGTCACATTGGATAAAGGATAGACTCCACATCTGACCTTCTTAGACAATAAATCCAACCAGTAAACATGCTGGAGATGACTCTTTGCCCCATGCTTCACCAATCATCTCTTCTTCTCAGTTCCTATAATTTTGCTTCCAGTGATAATTTAGCACACATATTCTTAACTGGTATTTAGCACATATATTCTTCACTGAAGGCTCTGCAAATTTCCAGTGGGTTCTTTGGAAACTCTGAGGTCAAGTGATTTACATGTAAAAATTTATGTAGTGTACATATTATATTTTAAAGTTTGAAAATTTAAAAACACAGTACAGTAGTTAAGGGAACAACTTTCTCCTTTCTTGCTGATAAGTCATAATAGACAAAATGAATAGAGCACCAAAACACTGACACAAAAATTAACATAAAAAGAAAAAAATCAATTGAGTGTACAATTTTCCTGTGTTCCTAAAATTCTTGTCATATGTGACATGAAATACAAATCTTCATTCATTCACTTATTCATTTTTTTTTAAAAAATACAAAGACAAAGTGTAAGGAACATGGAAATAGAAGCGGGTGTGCACTTACATCAATGGCTTCCTTGGCTGCTCAGTATCCCATGAGGCAATCTGATGTTATCTTTTTGAATGGGTTCTTCATTCACTTAACAAGGAAATCTTTCTAGGTGCTGAATCTAAAGGAAACGTGATAATGCTAAAATTTAAGGTCATCTTTCAAATTGAATGATTCTGTACTCCTGGTGGAAAACAAATCTCCCCAAGTGACCATTTTAAACAAGTAAATGCGAAAGGCACATTTTCAATCACCTTTTAACAATAATGTTGTTCTTGACCTTTAAGTTATTTCTATAAGCATTTAACTCTTACAAAAAGGCATCAACCATATAAGTATCTGATTACAAATATCCAGTAGATTAGCTGTATTATATCTACAAAGAATCTGATGTAAAGGAGCCAATCAAACTACTACTACTAGTAATAATAATAATAGTAATAACAATAACAATAAGAAAAAGAATGGGAGTTTGAAAGAACAGAATATACTCAGAATGCTAAAAATGAGACTGTCTTCAGAAAGTGCTATGATTCCTCCAGAAACAAGAATAAATGAGAATTTTGCTTTTTACTTTGATAATCCTAAAAGTTCATATCAGTTGTAGAAGTGCCTTGCACTACTATCATAAAAAACTATATTTCAATATTATCAATAGATATTGTCTAGATTTACATTATAAAATATGAAAGGTTCTATTTATCAGAAATAATGTACATGATGCTTGCTTATTTTTCTGAAAACAACTTATTTAAATGGAAAATACATCACAATATATTAAATTGAGCAATTTTCACTTAAGTAGGTTAACCATCAAATACTCATTTTGTGCATAAATGAACAGTATCTTATAAAGCCTGAGTTTCTAGATTTTAGTGTTTCATATGTAATACTGCATTCTGCGTATGATGAGACAAAAATTATATATATATATATATATATATATGGCTCACCTAGATTTCCTGTCATATATTTGGTCTCATTTATCACATCTAACCTACTCTATGGAGAGGACTACTAACATTCAGCAAGAGTGCAACAATGAGTCCATTTAAAATTATGACTGCATATTTTATATCAGCCAAATACATACCATTCCCAGAAGCAAATTTCAATAAAACAGACCTGAACAATTCACCTCTACTTGAATTTTATTTACTATACTTTTCGTACTATTTTTCTGTTTTATATCTAATGAGTCTAATTCTTTTCTGCTTTCCAACTGATTGATTTTTCCATTTGAGGATAAACAGACACCATAAGTGACATGGTTCCTCTTATGGTTTGTGTATAGTTGTCCCCCCGCAAAGACTCATGCAGTCATTGTGGCATCATTCTAAAGTTTGTGGTTAATTCATGATCTAAGGCTGAGATTATGGGCCTGGGTACTTCTGGGATTATGGGTGAGTGCTACACCGAGACTGAGGCAGATAGCAACATAAGGCAAGGAGAGAGGCCTGGCTCTGTCACTGCTGCTGCTGCTGCTCCCTTTTACCTTTGCTCTTTGAGGTTTTCTGCCACCATGAAGTGCTGTCCTCTGTCATGTGTCACTCTTCCTTGGAGACAGCTGAGTATGGACTGAGACCTCCACAAACTGAACTAAATAAAACTTTCCTTCATTAATTTGTGGTGTCATTTATTTTGTCCCAGCAATGAAAGAAAATAACTTAGACCATTCCACAGACCACTGAAAATGAAATTTCTCAGAGGGTATTCTTTTGGTCTGAATTCTTTTCTAGGACCCAGCATACCAGACCAAGTCCAGATGGACTGATCATACCAGTGGGTCTATAATCAAATAGAACACAGAGACAGACCACTTTCAAAAACACAGGGGATTCATAGCAATTGATCCAAAAGGCTACCTGAGCTCTCCTGAAAAGGATGTCCCCTCCTCTTAACATTGCACAGAAAATAAACCTCAAGTAAACTAATGATATCCAATATGCTTTTTGAAACATGCTATGTCCTTGCCTCTGTTTAAGCTACCTTTATAAAAGTGATAGTTTTGTCATACTCCATGGAATGCTTTCTATTCTTGTACTGGACACTGACCAGTTCATGAACTGCAAATAAAAGTCAATTAGATTTCTACTACTCAATTTGTTGAAATTTTGTTCATTGACATTCTAAACACATGCCCTTCATTATAGCAATTCTTCTGTGCAATCCATCAGCATCTTTTTGCCCAACATTCTCATAGTTTGTCAACACAATGGGTGTAAGTGAGGGAACAGTGTTAGAGAAAATTTAGTGAGCTCATATGGCATTGTCATAATTCAAGCAGTAAAACTACATTGATAGTTTTAAAATATTTTTAAATACTAATGAGTTTAAATCATGTGTATCTTTTTTGTATTTATTCTATTCCATTTAACGCAAGTGCAGGTCAACTTGAAAAATTGGTGCAAAGGGCAAGTAGAAATCCAAAAATGTTAGGAGAAAAATCTAAGCTGAGGTAGATGTAAATGGAAGAACTGACTGAACTTTGAAAGTGTTCTCCAAATCATGTACAAGATCAGCAGAAGTTAGAAACCTTATTGGCCTGACATAATGGACCAAATCCTCTGTCCAAATAATTTGCTGACAAGTAAGCTTGAGGAAAGTTTGACAACTCCTGGAAGCCAACTTGAAAATAACAAATAGTATTAAACATATTTAGAAAATATTTAAGAGTCTGAGCAAGATAAGTAGTTGTGGGCCAATAAGAGATGTTTATTTAGTATATTAAGAGGTTTTAAATAATTACAACTTTAAGGATTTAAAAGTAAAATAATAAATCAAAATTCATATAAGATCTTAAAATACCATATTTTGACAAGATACAAAAATCACGAAAAGAAGTAAGGATGCATTATTTATATTCAGGAAAGAAAACAAAACAAAAGCAGGCAATAGCAATTCTGTCTATGTAGGCCCAAAAGTTGAATTTAGCAGACAAATGTTTGACATCATTTATAAAAATATTAGGGTCAGAGAGACACCTCAGTGCACTAAGTGCCTGCTTAGGCACCTGAAAGGACCAAGGTTCAACCCTCAGCACCACACACCATGCGGGGCCCGCCCTGCAAGTGAGCAAGCCCCCAAGTCTGGTGGGGGGTGGTGCACAACTATAATCTCAGTGGTGGAGAGTCTGAAAACAGGAGGATCACTTCAAGTCTGAGCTATGTAGTGAGACCCTGTGCCAAATACATAAAAAAGAAAGAAATCATAAAATATTGAGGAACTTATAAGAACTTTCAGAATAAATTATGACAATTATTGTTCAAATAAAGAATAGACCATCAGAACTACAAAAAAAGGACATTCTAGATTTGAAAGATATTATTACTTAAACAAAAATTTCCCCAAATTGAGTGAGTATAAGTTGAGAAAAATGAAGAGCAATTTTTAAATGGAAATAGTTTGCCACAGAAAAATAAATATCTCATTGCAATCTCAATCTAGGTGTGTCTGCATTCTGCAATCCTTACTAATGCTGGCCAGAGACATTACTACACAGCACACTTTTTTCCATAATTTATTGAGAAACAAATAGCAATGAGACAGTTTCAAACCAAATTGGTAGGACAGTTTCAATAATTAACACATTGCATACATTCTTCCTAGTGGTTAATTGCCGTACAAGATGCAGACATGATATCCTATTTACAAACACTATTAGAACAAATC